TATAGAATACATACAATAAGTACTGTAGAAAATAAACATACCTGGTTTATATTCAATCGAGAAAAAAAGACAAGGAAAATGTGTCAGGGAAAACTTAAATGACACAGATTCACTACAAATCTAATGAAATGCGTTAAATAATAATTGATTGACATAAGAAGAAAAAGAGATTGGTAAAAGGTCTAATACAGACCCAGTAAGTATAGTGTCAGATCTATCACCACAGACACTGCCAGATCTGGCAGCTACTGTTAAGAAAAAGGAGCACAAAGATTTAACATCACACTCCCATAACACTGTCAGACCCATAATGGACAGCCTCAAAATCAAAAAATGCAGCAGACAGAGACTCAGAGATATCATTTTTTTATTCTGCGCATCTTCTTCCTTTTCAAAACCTGTCGGCAACATTATCCACAGTGCAACTTGACCTCAGACAGTTCCACCAAATAATTTGTTGTGTTATGCTTGTGGCGGCTAATGTAGCCTCTAGCATCAGATAAGAAGCGGGCTACAAAGGTCTGGTAAGCTCTTTTCTTTATAACTCCACACCCACAGATTTTTGTCATTTTCAAACTTGTAATTTCAGCACCAGCTGACACTACCTGAAGTGACATTATATTTTTCATAGCTCGCTCTGGAGCCACAAAAGGCATTATACAACGTTTTTCACATATGTAGTACTCAGGAACTGTAAACAGACTTTCTGTAAAAATTCAAAATCTTATAGGCTATTTGATTTTAAACAGATTTGAAGTTGGAGGGGAACACAAACAAACTGCAGTCAGAATTAGTGAACACAGTGAATTTTTGCAGTCTGGTTGGGTCAAAATGTCACCAGATGTTCTAGGTAATGCAAAATATGGAAAGTAGCTCATAAAAATCTGGAATGGAAATGGAATGGTTCTAAAATGCCTGACAGGGATAATGCAGCCAAAATAATCCCTGTGACATTTCATTTGACATTTACTTTTAGTTTTCAGTACTGTTTCTCAGAGAAGAATTCAACCACCAAATTGGCTATGCAAGTAATGAGATCTGAAATCAATAGGTTATTTCGCTCCCATTATCCTTCTGGCACATACTCTACAAAAAATCTTAGCTAAAATGAACAGATGGAGCTGCTGTTTTCCCTGTTATGTGGGATACATTTTTGCCTAAAAGGTCCATAATAATGACAGCCAAAGAACATCCAGTGGTGGATTCACCCTAAAGAAAGGAATGCTGTCCAAATGTAGACATGTCTGCCTTTTGTACCCTGCATCCTTTTTATAGACTACTTTGTTCTAATATGACATAACCACAGAAATAACTGCAGATTTATAACTTTATAAATCACATGATGAGTTCCTAGAATTTGTTTTGTTTTGGGTTCTTGTATTTCCGCCAGTAATTTTAGAAGACTAAGTATACAGTCATTCTAGGTGAGCATATTGAAAGTTAAAAATATCAAATGGCAATGTCACTTTAAGATATGATAATAGAGCCACTGTTTATTGAGGCACTGAGTATTTTTGGATGTAGAACAGGTGAGAGATCAAAGCAACGATGTTCAACCACTCACAGTGTGTCTGTAATATAGCAAAAAACATGGAGACATCGATTTTTATTTGAATCCATGAGACATGAGAAACACAGTAACTACATTAAATCAACCTAGCCCTAACCTGCTGCCATAAACGGGTTCAACTATAAGGGATACTCATCCATTCTTCAAGAAGGAACACATTCACTTCTTTGAGTTATAAGGGGAATGAAAAATCTTCTTCAAATAGCTCGGGCCTAAATTATGGCTGATGCTTTGACTTCTCTGGATCAATTTACTCAATTAGGAACTTTGTGAGTCAAAAGGGCTAAGGGCTGCAAATGTAGCCTGCAGCTGCAGCAGAGAAACCATGAACAAAATGTTATGAAGTACAGAAATCTCTGACGGTAGAGTTAAACAAGAGTCTACGGCCACGCTAGCTGCTCTGCGAGGCTGCACTGAAGCACAGTGGTGCTTTGGGCTAAATGCTAATGATGCTAATGATGTGCAAATCAATATTAAAGTATTGGTATTTCTGGTCCCAATATTTCCTGCTCTAGGATCCATTCTCATATGAAATGATCGATATCTAAACTCTAAAAAAGTCATTTGAAGTGATTGTGTATTTTATCACAAGTCACCAGGACGGTCTACTTATAAACCCATGTGATAGGAACCATTTCTCCTGACATTGCTTATTTGTATTGAGCCATTTCAGCCCTTCATTGGGTCTGGGTATTGGTATCGGATTGTAAAGGACGTGGTTTCGGACATCACTAATGCTAACATCACGCTCATGACATAACTAACATGTCGATGTTTACCAGATATGTTTACCGTGTTCGGCGTCTTATTTTAGCATGTTATCATGCTAACATTTGCTCATTTTCACTAAATACAAAGTACACCTGAGGTTGATGGGGATGTCATTAGTTTTGCAGTTGTCTGGTCAAACCTAGGCATTGAAGAAATTAGTTTTGACTTGATGATTTTACAAGATCGAAAGTGAAAAGTGATCTCCAAAGGTATTATAATTCATGATGATGGAGAGATGACTGTGTGTGCCGAGTTTACTGGCAATCCATCCAATAGTTGTTGAGATATTTAACGATACCACAAATTTTAGCCTCATGGTGGCGCTAGAGGACAAGTCGGGATCAACAAAGTCATTAGTGAATTTATCCAATAGTTGTTGTGAACTTATGCTACACATAAAACAAGTCAAAACCATGGGTGAAACAGTCAGCAATAGATTACAACAGGCAGAAATGAGAAGCAAAACCAGTCAAAACAACAAGAGCATCTGGTAAGAATTGTGGAGAAGAACGACAAGTTTGCATTAGAAATAACTGTTTTTTTTAATCAAATTTCAAACAAGATCGGTGATTATTATGCTGTTGATCAGCTGAAGTGATGTTCGTGGCTGTGTGTGCCAATATAGTAGCTCCTGTAAGTACTGTGGATAGCCTAGAGCAGAGACTTAACTGGAGCAAGAAATGGTGTATTCGATCCTGTGGGTTGGGTTGGAGAGGTTGTGGCAAGAGTCAGATAAAGAAGCGTGAAAGGCCTCATTATAAACAGAAGCACACCAGCCTTGGTCCAATAAAAGTCACATTACCCTGCTTGCTTGTGTGTCTGTATGTGTGCATGGAAACGTGCTTATATGTTGTGGAGTTTGTTGTGTTTTTATGTGGGCAAGATGTTTTTACACAGTGTTACATGAAATAATCTGGCACTAGTCTGTAATAATTTTGGGGGGGGGGGGATTTTTGCCTTTATTTGACAGTACAACCAAAGAGAGACAGGAAATGTGGGAGAGAGAGGGGATGACTTGCTTTAGCCTTTGTATATGGTGCATGTGTTCCACCAGGTGAGCTAACTGACGCCGCAGTCGTCTTCATTAATTTGACAGTGTGTTATAACACTCCTGTGTCAATATCTGAATTGCTGTATGCCTTTCATTTATCAAGAAAGAATGACAATAAAGCGAGGAAGCTGCTTCTTTTATTTTTAAACTGTAGCACACATAAGTAGACTAGGAGTGCATTAAATCATTTTATTTTTAGTATAAATGTATTGATTAGTGCAGCTTTAAGTTATCTGGAGACACAAAATACCATTCATTATCTCTGGAAAAGAGAAACAGAGGTAATGATGGAAATGGATGTAAAGCATATTATAATGTAGGGCTGCCCCGACTAAAGATTTTTGTAGTTATTAGTAGTAGTTGTTAATTCAAGCCATTAGGGTTCCAGGACTGAGAAAGAATGTTATTTGTTAATGTTAAGACATTGTTAAAACTGTTACAGAGAAAGACAAACCTGATTTGTTATGATCAACTAAAGTTAGGCACGATACGAGATGAATAAATCCCCAGGTTTGTTATCTTCCCATCTTTCCATATCTGTTGACTGTAAGGGAACTCTTCTTAGTTTGGGAGGGGAGAGGAAGGTAGGGAGGGCTTTCATTTTGTGTGTTACAACAAAATGTTAAAAACAAACAAGAATGTTTCAATTGTGAAGTTTGCATCGTCCTGTTTATTGTTTCCTTATTAAGTTTAAGTTTATACTGTTAGGCAAACCCAGGACGCTTGACTGCAATACCATTACACTATTCTATGCATAAAAAAATAAAATAAAAACTGGGACTATACAGTACAAAACCACTTTATTAAAAACTCCCTCTCCGGCCCTGGAGAGGTCTCGCCCTCATCTCAGTCGCCCCTTAGCTCGACCTCCGGAGAGGTTACGCCTTCCCCGTCGACCCTCTGCTTGGCCCCCTGTGGACCTTGGCTCAGGCTCTCAACCTCCTGACCTCCCCGGTTCCCTCTCTGCCTGGCCTCCGGGCCATCCACCTGAGGTCCCATGTTCCCTCTCTGCCCTACCCCTGGGCTGCCCGCCTGAGGCTCCTTGCCCCATCTCGGTTCCGCCTTCGGGCCTGAACTCCCTGGCTCCCCTGGTCCGCCCTCA